TATAATTAGAAAAAAAAAACAATATCATTCTGAGATGTCAGTTCAAAACTATTCCAAAAGCAAGATGACATTTTATTTAAAATGGTGTTTAAAAAAGTAATGTTGGCTCATTTTAATGTTAATACTCAAATAACATAATTTTTGCTAAAAAACAACAAATAATGTCGAAAAATATAAATTTCATATAAAACAACAAATAATGTGGAAATTGATTTTTAATGACCTAAAATTGATACATTATTTCAGTTATAAGACAATAAATGTTATTAATAGACGTAAGACGAAGAAAGATGATGTAACTTCGTTTTTATAGACATTTTTGCACGTAATTTTCATACAATAAACAGTTACTTTATAAATTATGTATTGGCAGTTCTGATCGAACATCTTTTGTCATATCTCTCGTATTAGCATAATTCCGATATCATAAATGTTTTGGTCGGTCTTGGCAATAAACTGATCGAAGTGCTTTTTGATCTCCTCATTCGAGGTAAAGGTTTTACCGCCTAAACATTTTTTTAGTGACCGGAACAAATAATCGTCCGATGATAGCAGGGCTAGAGGATATGATGAATGTGTCATTGGGTTCCATTCAAGCTTCAAAAACTAATGGCGATTGACCAAAATTTTGCGAGGTCTTGCGTCATCTCGATGCAGGACTATGCCTAGTTGTGGGTAAATTCTGACCTTTTTTATTGAAGTATATCATTTAGTTTATCCAGCTGATGACATAACGCATCCGAATTAACCGTTATGTTATCCTGGAAAAGCTGAAAAATAAACAACTCCTTTAAAATCTTACCAAACATACCGCATCACCCTCTTCTGGCAAATTTCAGATGTATTCTCGTTATAGTAATCGCAAAAACTCAAAAATGAATTTTTACGTTTCAAAGCATGTTGATGCATTCATGTGGGAATACAATTTTTCAAAGTTCAAAATTATTATTCGATTTCTATTGATGGAGAAACGTGCTGTTAGTTTTTTGCAAAGTCTGGTCCAGCCGTTTGGAAGATACGGTGCAATAAGTGGTAAAAACGTGAATTCAGTTTCTGAGAGAACGAAGCGGTCGATTTGATTGATTCAAGATATATTTTACTCCAATTGACCGAGTATCATTGACTAATTTTTTGGAAAAACAGGTCTACCGGTTTTGTAGAAACAGAGAAAAAAGTTTAAAAAATGATATTTGGAGGAAAATAATGATCATTAGACATATACACATCAAATTATAAGATATTTTATAAAAATTGTAGTAATGAGTACTAATTTTGTTTTAATTTTTATGAGTTCCGTAGCAAGATATATCGTTTTTAAAGTTCACTTATAAGGTTTAAATAAATCTTCTCGACAGTATGGATCAAGCGACTTAAATGATTTGAAAAACATTCGGTTCGTGCTGACCGCGAGACGTAGGTACTGCGTAGTTTTTTTTTACGAAAGGCAAGAGGTGCGGAGAGCGCAAATGATCAAAATGATTGCAAAAACATTTTTCTTGTTTTGACATTGTGAATAAATGTTGAATATAAAAATTTCGAAATCTCCAAAAACGTTTTTTATAGTTACAGGGTAGTTGTCCCATCTGTATGTAGTTTTTTTTATTATTACAAAAGTGATGACTTTTTTAACTTTCCGCAGAAAAGTGAAAAAATTTTCGTCCATGTTTTAGCTCGCAATTCTTAATCGATTTTGAAAATTCAAAAACCGTTCGAAAGATATTGGCTGGGAATCGTGCTGATTAGTTTTTGGTAAAGATCGGCCGAGCCGTTTTCTTGTGATAAAGTTTAAAAAAAAATCTACGATTTTTATTATTATTATTTTGATGGTAGATACCATAGTTTTCTAGATTATACTAAAATATTACAGCCATACGTGGAATTCTGTCTTAAGGCAATTAAGGCATCGTGCCTTAAGGCAAATTGCTGGAACTATTAACATTTTTGAAAAAAATTTACTTCAAAAAAATAAGATTTTTGACAAACAATTGGACAAAAAATTACTTTTTTTTGAAAAAAAAAATTTTTTTAATTTTTTTTTTGAAAAAAATGTTTTCTTTATTTTGACATATTTTGAAAGATCTAAACTTTTTTTCAAAGCAATCGTACTGCTTTAACTGCATAAAGACGAAATATCAAACCGCGTAAGCGCCGCGTCGACGTCTAACGCGTAAACATTGGTACGGAACCCATAGGAATGTAAACCAAAATCATACTTATTGTTAAAATCTCTATAAAATGTCTGATAATTTGATGTGCATATGTCTAATGATCATTTTTGTCCGCCAAATGGCATTTTTTTTTACTTTTTTTATTAGATCTCCGAAACCGCTAGACCTGCCTTTATGAAAATTTAATCGGTTCTTCACCTTGTCAATACAAGTAAAATGTTTTTTGAATTATTAAAATCGGACGCTCCGTTCTCTTAAAAACTGAGTTACCGTTTTCGGCACTTTTTGCCCCGTATCTTCGAAACGGCTAGACCTGACTTTGCCAAAAACTAATCAGCACGTCTCCTTATCAATGCGAATCGAATGTTTTTTGAATTATTCAAATCGGTTGATCGGTGATTTTTTCTAAGGTATGCCAAAATATTCAGAAACATTTGAAACGTCGAGAAATGCAAAAATTTTCATTTTCGATTTTTTTGCGATTACTATAACTTGCCCTACGGGAAGTTAAATATTACAGCCATACGACAACTTGTTCAGCTTCAAAAATTCGTCAAAGTTTGCAAAAATTAGTATCGTTTTTTTGGCATTTGTTAAAATTAGACCTTTCGTCAACGTTTGCGCAAAAACGCCTGAACCGATTTTAGAAATTTAAGAGCCGTTTTATGTATTTCGATAAGGATTTAGTCCAGTCATTTGGTGCAAAAAAAGGCTGTTGCCGGTACAGTACTCCGGTAATTCTGAAAATTGGTAATATCATAGATTTCGAGGTTCTCTTTACGAAAATCAACTTTGCCACCTCAAATTTGAACGGCAAGTTGCCGCCATTTTGAAAAAATGGCGTCAAAAATCAGCTTTTTTAAAATATCTCTTTTCTGGCTCATTCCACGATAAAAGTATATATGTACGAATTAAACTAGAGAAAATTTGCTACAATTCCTTAGAAAACCGTTTATTTGTAAAATTGATAGTTTGAGAGTACGGCCGCCTCAAAGTCTTTGCTGCTCTCGCAGTAGTATCAAATCTCTCCATATATGACAGCACTTCGAACTTGACCACATTCTCTCTAATAATTAATATTTTCAATGTTAAATTAAGCGAATAAGATCTAGAAATAAAATAATTCAAATATTTTTCGTTTTTTTTTTTTTGCTAATTTTTTAACACTTCAATGGCAAAGTAGCTATAAGTATAATTATAGCTTGAGTAGCACCTTATAGCTTCAAGTAGCTTGAAGCGTTAAAAAATCAGCAATAAACAGAAAAATATTTAAATTATTTTATTTCTAGATCTTATTCGCTTAATTTAACATTGAAAATATTAATTATTAGAAAGAATGTGCTGATATATATGACAGATTTAATACTATGATACTATGATACAAATTTTCGTCGACGATTTAGGGAACACGAATCAACCGATTTGAATAATTCAAAAAGCATTCGATTCGTATTGATAAGGAGACGTGCTGATTAGTTTTTGGCGAAGGCAGGTCTAGCCGTTCCGAAGATACGGAGCAAAAAGTGCCGAAAACGGTAACTCAGTTTTTAAGAGAACGGAGCGTCCGATTTAAATAATTCAAAAAACATTTGACTTGTATTGACAAGATGAAGAATCGATAAAATTTTCATGAAGGTAGGTCTAGCGGTTTCGGAGATATGGAGAAAAAAGTAAAAAAATGAGCCATTTGGCGGTCAAAAATGATCATTAGACATATGCGCATCAAATTATCAGATATTTTATAGAGATTTTAACAATAAGTATACATTTTGTTAACATTCCTATGGGTTCCGTACCAATGCTTATGCGTTAGACAGCGACGCGGCGCTTACGCGCTTTATATTTTGTCCCTATGCAGTTAAAGCAGTACGATTGCTTTGAAAAAAAGTTCAGATCTTCCACAATATGTCAAAATAAAGAAAAAAAAAATTTTTCAAAAAAAAAATTAAAAAAAAAATTTTTTTTTTTTTAAATTTTTTTTCAAAAAAAGTAATTTTTTGTCCAATTTATAGTTTCTCAAAAATCTTATTTTTTCAAAGTAATTTTTTTTTAAAAATCTTAATCGTTTTTTAAAAAATAATAATTTTTGGTACGGGAAGTTCCAGCAATTTGCCTTAAGGCACGATGCCTTAATTGCCTTAAGACAGAATTCCACTTACAGCTAGTTTTCGATTTTTTTGCGATTACTATAACTTGCCCTACGGGAAGTTAAAAAAATGCCATTTGGCGGTCAAAAATGATCATTAGACATATGCACATCAAATTATCAGATATTTTATAGAAATTTTAACAATATGAATCAATTTTGTTTACATTCCTATGAGTTCCGTACCAGTGTTTATCCGTTAGACGGCGACGCGGCGCTTACGCGCTTTGATATTTTGTCTGTATGCAGTTAAAGCAGTACGATTGCTTTGAAAAAGAGTTCAGAATTTCCAAAATATTTCAAAATAATTTTTTTTCAAGGAGTCTTTTTTTTAAAGTAAATTTTTTTCAAAAATGTTAATCTTTTTTAAGAAAAAATTTTTTGGTACGGGAAGTTCCAGCAGTTTCCCTTAAGGCACGATGCTATGCACCCCACTAGTCTTTAAACAAATCACTGCTATTTATGTTTTAGATAATAGTAATTGTTTCACCTGAAAGAGGGTACTGATTAAAACTTCTTATCAGAGTTCAACACCGAGTAAGTGTGTAACAGTTTGCGTCTTAGCTCTTTTATCGCACACCTCCCAACATTAGATGGCGCTATTTACACAAAGAATTCTCACTTTTCCTATCTAGCTAAGACGTACGTTTCCAAATTGACAACTGGCAACTGGATGTCATTCGTTGTGCAAGGAAAGCTAGAATTGGCTGTCATGGCCCATGTATTTCTTTCTCTGTGCAGTGCATTAAAAGTGAAACTGAAATTTAAGTTTAGTGCTTTAGTGTGAAGACTGTTGAAAAATAGGGATTGTGAAAAATATATTCGTGAAACGGCTTTATTCATTATTCGTGTGAATTTTAATGATAACATTTATGTGATCTCTGATGGTGTTTGCAAATACTTTTGACATTTTCTTTCGCCTTTGCCAAATATGGTGATGCGTGTAGTTAATCTGGATTCATAGTTGTGCAATGAGGTAAATACAATTTATTATTATGATTTATTATTGAAGATTGTTATGGTTATAGTAAAATTAGAGACTTATTTACTATTAATGTGTAAATAATGTACATAGACATTTTTATTCTCAATTTTATTCGGTACTTATTATTTATTTAATATACTATAGTATTTATTAAATATCATTTGCCTTAAAATGCATTGAATATACATTTGCATTAAAATAGTTTACTTCTTAGTAAATTCGAAACCATTTTTAATACATACCTGCCACAATACTAAAAATTTATTTCACTGCTTCTGTCAATATCAATAAATGAAAATTGATTAAAAACTGCGCAGATTTGATAAATTTTTAACTTTCCCGTAGGGTAAGTTATTGTAATCGTCCAAAAATCGAAATCGAAAATATTTACATTTCTCGACGTTTTGAAGGTTTCTGAACATTTTGGCATACTTCAGAAAAATGGATGCGGGTGTGTGTATGTGTGTGTGTGTATGTATGTATTGATACAATTTTTCGTCCACGTTTTCGGGCGCACGAATCAACCGATTTGAATCTCCGAAAAACATTCGATTCCTATCGATAGGGAGATGTGCTGATTAGTTTTTGGCAAAGGCAGGTCCAGCGGTTTCGGAGACACAGAGCTAAATGTGCAAAAAATGATAGTTTTTGAGGAAACTAAGCGTCCGATTTGAATGATTCAAAGAACTTTCTGCTTTTTTTAACAAAATAATTAATTTTGTTAAATTATTTTGTTAATTTTGTTTTAATAATTAATAATTAAATTTTTAAAAAATTTTTTTTTTTGTATATCGAAAATAATTCAGATTTTTATTTTAATTCTGTTCTAATATACTTTAAACAAATAATTTCAACTTTGCAATTCAGTTTATATAATTCTTATAAATATTAGACAATGTTACAATATTAATAATCTATTTGAAAACATTCAGTATTCCTCGAACATTTCGTTACGGTACGGGAAGTTCCAGCAATTTGCCTTAAGGCACGATGCCATATACCCCACTAGTTAGAGTTACATTTATCAACATATTTTCATATGCCTCGGTTTCTAGTTATGTTACGTATTGCGATATTTTTAATATAAACATCATATACGTATTTAAATGTATACTTTATTGATACGGTATATTGTTTATGTAATTTACTGCTCATTTATTCAACAATTACTCACAACGTTAGTGCTTATGTATGAAAAACACCTACTCATTTTATTTGATTATATTTGCAGATATTCTGCGCAATTCAACTTTTGTTTAACACAAGCATATTTTACACGTTTTGGAATGAAAATTCTTTTGATAATGTTATATTGGTTAAATTACTTCCCGCAGGATAAGTTATTGTAATCCTCTAAAAATCTAAATTGGAAATTTTTGCATTCTATGGCACACCTTAGAAATAAATGTGTGTGTGTAGTATGTCGATTATATGGATACAAATTTTCGTTGAATTGAATAATTCGAAAAACATTGAATTCCTACTGATTAGTTTTTGGCAAAGACGTGTCCACTTATTTCGGAGAAAGTAAACAAAGAGTGCAGAAAATAGAAATCGAGTTTTTAAAATCCAATTTCAATAATTCAAAGAACATTCAATTCGTAATGATGGGAAGCAGTGATGATTATTTTGTGACAAAGACAGGTCCAGCCGTTATGTTGTTAGGGTGCTAAATGTGCAAAAAATGGCAGTTTTTGAAAGAATGAATCATTCGATAAGAATGATTCAAAAAATCAGGAGGGCAAAAGGAAATTTTGTTTCATTTCCAAAAAATAATTTTTTTGAATAACGAAAATAATTCGGATTTTAATTTTAATTCTAGCTAAAATTTTAAAGCTCACAATTTTAACTTTGCAATTCAGTTTATATAATTCTTATAAATGTGAGACTATATCCTCCATTATAATACCTCTTCATTAAATTCCGTTCATTTACTCTTCATGTAGACTTATATAAATGCCATAGTCTAATTTTCAAGCTCTTATTTGCTGTCTATAATATGCGAATAATGTAAGTTTCAGTGCTTATAATAATATTCTGTAAATCATTTAATATTTTTCGAATATTTCATTACGGCACAGGAAGTTCCAGCAATTTGCTTCAAAGCACGATGCTATACACCACTAGTTGCTCTCTTATTCAACGATTACTCATAACGTTAGAGCTTATGTAGAAAAAAACGCCTATTTTAAATAATTGATATTATCATGAATTAACTTTTGTAATTTAAATGCAATTGCACATAACACATTTTAAAACTATTAAAATAGTTTTGTGTAGTTTATTGTTTCGAGACTTTTCGCAAAATCATATTATTTTATGTAGAGTTTTTTTATTATTATAAATTTCACAATTACACTTTATATATATATATTTTTTTTTTTTTAACTTCCCGTAGGGTAAGTTATAGTAATCGCAAAAAAATCGAAAATGAAAATTTTTATATATCTTTACGTTTCAGAGGTTTCTGAACATTTTGGCATACCTTAGAACAAATGGATGTATGTGTGTGTGTGTGTGTGTGTGTGTGTGTGTGTATGTGTGTGTGTATGTGTGTGTATGTGTGTGTGTATGTATGTACGTGTGTGTATGTATGTGCGGATACAAATTTTCGTCGACGATTTCGGGAACACGGATAAACCGATTTGAATAATTCAAAAAACATTCGATTCGTATTGATAAGGAGACGTGCTGATTAGTTTTTGGCGAAGGCAGGTCTAGCCGTTCCAAAGATACGGGGCAAAAAGTGCCGAAAACGGTAACTCAGTTTTTAAGAGAACGGAGCGTCCGATTTGAATAATTCAAAAAACATTTTACTTGTATTGACAAGATGAAGAATTGATTAAATTTTCATGAAGGCAGGTCTAACGGTTTCGGAGATCAAATGAAAAAAGTAAAAAAAAATGCCATTTGGCGGCCAAAAATGATCATTAGACATATGCACATCAAATTATCAGATATTTTATAGAGATTTTAACAATAAGTATGAATTTGGTTTACAGTCCTATGGGTTCCGTACCAGTGTTTACGCGTTAGGCGGCGACGTGGCGCTTTACGCTCTTTGATAATTCGTCTTTATGCAGTTAAAGCAGTACGATTGCTTTGAAAAAAAGTTTAGATCTTTCAAAATATGTCACAATAAGGAAAATATTTTTTTTTTCAAAAAAAAAAAAAAATTAAAAAAAATTTTTTTTCGAAAAAAAAATTTTTTTTCAAAAAAAAAGTAATTTTTTTTCCAATTTATAGTTTTTCAAAAATCTTATTTTTTCGAAGTAAAATTTTTTCAAAATTGTTAATCGTTTTTTAAAAAAAAAATAATTTTTGGTACGGGAAGTTCCAGCAATTTGCCTTAAGGCACGATGCCTTAATTGCCTTAAGACAGAATTCCACTTACAGCTAGTTTTAATTTTTATTTGGCCTCGCTTACTCTGAGCATTTAGCCACCTACAACATTTTTATTTATTTACATTCTAATTTTTATATCAATTTCAATCTATTTATGTATCCTATTCTAAATTCTTCTTCTTATTTTTCTTCAATTCTTCATTCTTCTTTCAAGCTCCAATACTTCTCTTCTTACTCCTAATTCAATTCAACTATGCGAATTCTGTTAATCCCAATTTTCTTAATTTTTTATTCAAATTCTATTTAACAAGTACAATTTTTATTTGATTTCTACACATATTTTTTTTCATAAATTCTACGTCATTGACAGGATTTGATCCGAGGATCCATGTCGTGTGAATCGAACACGCTACCAAAGAGCTATGCTCGCCACTTATACATTTTCATTAATATTTTTACTGTAAATTGGTTTTGCTAATTAGTCGGATTTTATTTTCAATTAAAACCAAAATTTAACATATCAATAATTTTATTATTAATTTTTTTTTAACTTCCCGAAGGAAAATGTTTCAAGCCATTCTGAATCGAATGAGACCAAATTTGGAAAAAGTATGTGTGCGTGAACAGATTTTTTGCCGTAAATCAACGTTTTCTCAAAAACGGCTAGACTGATTTCAAACATTTAAAAGCCATTCGATGTATCTCAATGAGGACTACCGTTTCTCAGTTTTGTGAAGAGTATCTTTGTAATTTGGAAAAAAGTGTTAAACTTTTCGTCCACATTTAACCTCGTACTACCCAATCGATTTTAAAAAATCAAACACTGTTCGGAAGATATTATTTGGGAATGATACTGATTAGTTTTAGGTGAAAATCTACCTAGCCGTTTTCTTATAATTAACTGATGTAAAAAAAATTTAAGCCGATTTTTATGAAACTTTTTTTGGCGATATATATCATGGTCTTATAAAACTTACTGAAATATTACGGCCTTACGACAAGTTGTTCGATTTTAAAAATTCATCAAAGTTTGAGAATTTGAATAGTTTTTTTGAAGTTTGTTAAAATTAAAACTATACGATTTACTTGGTATAACGATAGAGTACTTGGTCTTAGTGAACATAGTAAACCATTAAAGTCCTACAGAAACTGGTTCAATTATAAAAATTGTTGATTTTTTAAAATATGCTTTTAGAAAATACTCCGAGTTAACGAGTTTGTTTGTTTTCAATTATGTGTAATAAGTCCATATTTTTATTGATTAATTCGATTGTTTACACATATCGGGAAGTTCATGTAACTTGCCTCAAGGCTAAATACCAATGCGAACTATTTAGTTACACTTTTTTGTTCATACAAACTTCATTGGAGTTAATTCGCTCCATATTTTATTCTTAACAATTTATTGATGGTTGAGGCATCCGTTTACTAAATTTTGGTTTTAGTTGTCGATTAATCGCAGGCTATCGATGATAATCAAGAAATCGATTAATAACGTGTTAACGTTCCTTATTAACCTAATTAATTTCATAACAATATTTGTTTTATTATCTATAATTTTCTATCTTTTCCACGTTGCCGATAGGTGAAAAATTTAATACATCAGTTCACTAGGGTAGATATTATGATAAAGTTCAGTTCAATGG